AAAAAAAAAAAATTCGATTAAATATATATATAAAAAAAAATTTGTTATTATAAATAATATTTATTTTAAAAATACTTATTTTTTAATTGGTATTTTTAAAAGATTTTAGCCTATTATTTTAAAATTTTATTCATCGCTTTTTAAAATATCTAATTTTTTATTTCTTTCTTCATCATTAATATCCTTTTTAAAAAAACTTTTTGTTATTTAATTTCTTTTTATCGAGCTTTGTTACACTTTTTAGTCTTGAATATTATCAATTTATTATAAATATATAAATAACATCACATAAATTATAGTATTAGCAACTAAAGTCCACACAGAAGCATAGAAATACCAAACATTTATATTAATCACTTTATATATTTAATTTATGTCATTAACAAGAGTTTATTTTCCTTGTGTTTAGCAAAAACAAATAAATTATTGAATTTGATTTTAGTCATTAGTATTATATAAAAGTATGCAATCTTTATAAATCCATTTGCCTTAAATATTTTATATGCAAATATAATCTCCAACATTATAAACTGCCTCAGATAAATTGTACATATTGAACAATTGAATATTAATTTGTATTTATTATTAATTATATTCAAAATTTATAACCTTATCATTTATGATAAAAGGATGATTATTTGAGTAAGGGAAATTATCATCATATTTTATTACAGATGAAGGATATTCTAAATAATTTACATAGTATTATAAAGATTCTTAGTTTTTATCTATATTTATATCATCATGGTAAACATTTGAAAGTAGTTTTAAATATTTTTCTTTTAAAACCTTATATGTTGTTTTTTGAGCAAAAACTATATTTAGAATATTTATAGGATTTTCGTTTGAAATCTAAAACGCATTCAATGATTACACTATGATTTTCATTATTTACATATATTATATATCTAATTATGAGTTTTATTTATTATGAAACGATTCTCTATTAACTTATTATATATTTTAAATTATTTATGCTTATGATATGATAATTTATACTGATTAAAAATAATTTTCATATTATGTCATGTCAGAAATTACTATATTTTTAATTATCTTTTATTAATCCGTTACTATTTACTCAACATTATTAATAATTTATTGGATTTTGTCAAATCCTAATTATGATGCTATTTAATTGAGAAAGTTAGAAAATATTAAATTTAATGTTATTTAAGTCTATATAAAATAGTTAAAAATGTATGTTTATTAATAAAAATAGTATTACAAAGTTAGTACCTAATTTAAAATGTCAATATATAATGATATAAACTAAGAATTAGTTTATAATGATAGGACACTCACATGATTAATAAGATCATTAGTAATCATATTAAAATAAATAATTTTATTTTCATTTAAATTATTATTTTAAGTTTAAGTAAGCCAATTATTTATAAACATGTAATATGAAGAACTATCTTAACTATATTGACTTACTGTAATTTATTAAGTTATATTTCTTATTCCTCCTTTTGAATCTTATATTACTCCCATAATTAAGGATACACCAAAAGGTAAAACAGTTTCAATATTATTATTTGGTGAGAAATCAGCTAATAAATGCCTATTAATTATTTATGCATTTAGTAATTCATTATTATAATCTTCTTAATTTTTATAAAAATAGAAAGAATAAGTTAAAGGTAAATCATTATCAATACATTCATTTATTGAAAGAGTTAATTTGTCTTACAAGTTTCTAACTTCAAAATTTACAGATTAGTCAAAAATACAATCTTTGGGAGGGATGTTTGCATATAAAAAATAAGAAATTAATGTTGGTATTATATAATTTCGATTTCTAACTGAAAATTTTAATTCAAATTAATTTTAATTTTAAAAGTCAAAGAAAAACTCCCAAATTTTAAATCTTAATTAGCTGTAATTTATTTACATTATACTTACTTATTAATTCTTATATAATATAACTCCTGTAATTATTAAATCATCAACATTTACATCTTCTTCAAAATCAAATTTAATGAATATTTATTAATTTAAATTTATTGTATTTTAAGTATTATTAATAGAAACAGTAGATTTAACAGGAGCAACGGCATAATCAACCATTTATACGATTATCTAATGAATTTCAGTTACTCCATCTTTTGTTCCTGATAATGTAAATTAATATTATTAATAAGCCTATAAAATATTCTTTTATATGTTAATTTATAAGTTCTATGTAATTGCGGAAACAATTAAATTGTTTGATGAATCTTTGCAATCATTTCCAGTACTGAGATCGATACATTACCATTTTATATTTACTCCATAATTAGTTACTTTTAATTAAATTTTTTCACTTGAAGATAAATTAGGATCATCTATTATTGCTTAGAGATCAAAACTTTAAGAAAATTATTATTATCTATTTCCTCCTAAAATTTAAACTAAAATAGGATTCGAATGAACATAAATTGAAAATAATATTTATTTAGTAATTTAAGGATCAGATTTTAAAGAAACAATGATTTATATAATATATGTGGTATTCACTTTCATAATAAAAGGTTATATTTAAAATTAAAATTATGTTCCTTTAATTTATTATATGGAATCAATATTTAATTATTCAGTTAAATTATCATTTTATTTTATCTATACTTCATAAAAATTATTTTCTTATTGATAATATATTTTTCCATCATCATCACATTATAAAAGATTAAAATTAACAATAATATTAACTTAATTATTTCTATAAATTTTATTAGGAATTGATTTTACCCTTAAGTCTATCAAAGAGTCTGGTAATGTTTAATATGTTATTTTTGCAATTGCTGCTTGGTTAAACTAGGTAATTAAATATACTTAGAATTAGTATTATCCGTTTTTTTTCAGTTTTAAAGGTTGTATTTCTAAAAACAATTAGTTTTTTTATTATTATATTTACTTATTTATTTAAGTTATTTCATTTTCCGTAATCACATCTGAGGAAACAAGCGTCCAAATAATTTATTTTAATTTTCTATTTCCACAATTAGAAACACTAGATATTCTTATTTATGCTTATTAACATATTGAAACAGGACCTGTTTAAGTTAACTCAATAACTGGATACGTGTCTAAAATTACTTTTCCAGTTATTTGTTAAAGAAAATTAGGGCATTCAAATCCATTATTTATTAGTTTGAATACACCAGGTTTTATTTTAATTATGTCGTCCTTAATAATAGTACTTACACTATCAAGTTTAACTGTAAGGGTTTTTTAATGTTCATCAAAAGAACATAAAATATTTCCTTATAATTTAGAAAAAATAAAAGATTAATCCAATGTTTCCATACAAAGTTAATTAGTAAATTATAATTAAGAATCATAATCTTATAACTCTAAATTTATAAGAATTAATTTAATTTATAAATTAGTAAAATAATAACCAAAATCTATAATTAAAGATAATAAGTCATCGCTAAACTATATTTTAGTCATTATAGTTAAGCATGAATCACATTATATATTTAAATTTAATTAAAAATAATAAGGAGTTAGACACGTAAGACATTCATTAGCACTGCATGTAGCACATCCACTTGAAAAAGCAGAACACATAGTGCAGGCTTAATTGAAATCTTTAGGATCATAAGAATATTAAGGACAAACACATTATTAAGGAACTCTATTTTAAAAGCAAGTATCACAACTAATGTCATTAGAACAAGTTTCACATTTAGCTAAGCAAGCTATACATTATCTATTTACTGTATTTTTCCATTTTCCTGGAGGACAATCATTTACACATGAATTTTCATCTAAAAAACGTAACGGTAAACATTCATGGCAAATATTATTATCACAAGTAGAACATCCAAAAGATATATTAGAACAAGCAAAACAAGCTTATTAGTAATTTAAGTTATCGTAATTATGAGCAAGACATCCACAATCAGGTGGTACTCTATTCTGAAAGCAAGTGTCACAATCGGTTGCATTAGAACAAGTTAAACATTTATTATTACAATCATTGCAATTTCTAGTTATAGAATTTGCATATTTATTGATAGGACAGATTAAAATACATTAAAAATCATTATAAAAATATCCAATATTGCATAAATCACAGGAATTTCTTTTCGAATATTATTCGCAGTTTGCAATACAATTGAAACACCTACCTGCTTCTAAATACTAACCTACTTAACATTCATTACAAGAATATTCGTTATCGCATCCAACGCATTCAGACATGCATTCATTAGCATAAATTTCAAATTCATTTATACCTAAAGATTAATAATAAGGAGCTTTATCCAAGTTATTAATAAATTTAATTTTAATATTTTAATTATTAGTATCATATTTAAATAACGTACTTTCCAGTAAATCATAGTCTGCTAGTCCACACAAATTACTTACTGCGGAACTTTGTTAAACTATATGTGCTTTATTTCCATCTATTTAAGAAGTAAATTCATTTGTATAATTCCATTAATCAATCAATATATATTTATATTTTATAGTATATCTATATAAAGGTTTAGTTGATTTAATATTAATACTTATAATGCAATTTTATCCGCATATATTATATCCACCTAAAATTGTATATTTACCACATGAATAAGTATAAGTACTTCCAACAAGTCCAGTCAATTAAAAACCACAACTTTCTATATCTTTTAGATTAAAATTACCGAATAAACATCTTTTTAACAATACATATTTTTGAGAATAAACTATTGAAATTATGAGTAATATTATTAAATAGAAATTTTTCCTCATATTTGATTTTATATTCATCAATTATAATTTATTAAATGCTATTAAATTTTTTACAGATAATATTTAATTTAATTATTATATTTTTTCAAATGTATATTGTGTTATATTAAAGTTTAAAAATAAAATAAAAAATTAATATTTTCTTAGATATTTATTATATAAAATTTTTCTCATATAGCAAATAATAATAATAAAAAAAAGTTACATATAAAAATTATATAATAATTTTTATATTAAATATTAATTAATATTTTTATTTATTTATTTATTTATTAAATCTTAAATTATAAATAATTATTATTAAATATTAATGATATGTAATAAATAATAATAATTAATAAATAAATATATAATATTTAATATATTTAAGTTTTAGTTATTTATTAATAAAAATAATTTAGTATGTAATTTAATTTTAATCTCATTATTTAATTTTAATCTCATTATTTAAATTAATCTCATAAAAAAAAAAAAATATTTTTAACTTTTAATAAAAATATATGAAAAAAAAATAATACATATTAAATTTATAGAATTATAAATATATAAAAAAATTTTTATATAATTAAAAATAATAATTTTTTATATTTTTTAAATAATGCATATATAAATATTTAAAAAATAAAATAAATAAATATTATTATGAATATATAAATACATATATATAAATATATAAATTAATAAAAATTAAATATATAAAATAATAATAATATTTTTATTTCTTTAATTATAATTACATTAAAATTAAAGTTTATATTATTACAAAAAAATTAATTAAGTATAATAATAATATATTAATTTAATTTTATTAAAATATTATATATTATATTTATATTTATTTTTATACTAATCAAATTTACATTTAAATAGAAATTATTATATTTTATTAAATTATATTGTATTTTTATAAACAAATAAATAAAAAAAAATTATATGATAATTAATTTTATTTAATTATTTATTTTCATTTTTTTTACTTAATTATTTATTTATTAATGAATATATTATATAATTAATTTATTTATTTAAAATATTTTTTAATAATAATAATATTATTATTATTTATAAGTAATTTTTTTATTTTATTCTTAATTATTATTTATTTGAATTATTGTTTTAAATGTAAAATTTAAATAAATTTGTATATAATTATCAAATGAAAAATTAAAAAATATATAAATAAATAATTAAAATATTATCTATAAAGTTATGTATTTAATTTTAATATATATTCATCTAAATTAAAGTAATCAATATTTCTTAATAAAAGTTAAAAAATTTAAAATTATTAATGTTGTCAATTTTAATATTTTTTTTTATATAAATTCATTAAAAAATTTTCTAAATTAAAAATATTAAATAATATCATTTAAATTCTGTAGCATTATTAATTTATTTATCTAGAAACATATTGAATAAATAGTTTATATTTAATAAATGCAGAAATAATTTAATAAATAAAGATATCAAAAAAAATTACCGAAAAATAAAAAGGCACCCAATTATTTTATTAAGTATAAAACTTATTTTAAATATTAATACAAATAATGAAAAAGCTAATTATCACTATAATATTTAAAATGAGATAAATCAAAAATTTAAATATTCTTTTATTTAATTTATATATGCTTTCTATAAAAATAATAAATAAGTTAATACTTAATAATAATAAAGAATTAGCTTGTATTATTAAACAAGTTTTTAAATCATTAAATAAAATAGAATTAGCAATAATAAGAATATTATATTTTGTATATTAGCTTGTTAATCTAAAAGGCCTACTTAAAAATTAATTAAAAATGGTAAATATTTAAATTATTTCATGAAAAATTATAAATTAAACAAATCTATTTTTTTAAAAAAAGTTTTACAAAATAATAGATTCCTATGCCTAATTACAATCTATAATTTTATTATTTATTTGTTATAAGGAGCTATTTTTAGTTAATATGTTTGATTCGACTGTTTATCGCTATTATTATTCTGATTAACTAGTGTTATTTTGACTTTTATATATATATATGCAACTATCATTTGTTTTTTCTTCATATTTATAGTTAATATTTACATTTTTATTATTTATTTATTAGTTTTATTTAATTTGCAATTGATTTAAACAAGCTTAATTTTTTTTTCTTTTAACTAAAGTATTTTTTTAAAATAGAGTCATATTCTTTTACAGATCTTTGGTTTTATTCTAATTTTTTTTATTATATATACCATCTTATTAGTTATTTTATAATAAATCAACTTTACTATATTTTTAAGAATATAATTTACTAATTTTACGCTAAATTAATATTTCTATCTTATCTACTGTTATTTATTAAGTATTTTATTTTTATTAATTTTCAGTTATTGGCGTATTATTATATTAACTTTCTATAGTAGTATTTGATTAAACTTTTTTTAATGTAATTTTTTTTATGTTTTCTCTTCTAATTTTTCAGATTATAACTATTTTTATATCTAAGAACCTAATAAATTAATTTATTATGTATTGTTTTCATTATTTACTAAATTATTTTAAC